TTTTTATTTAATTTGAAAGCTCACTTCTACCGCGTGAACTGCACAAATGCTTTATTTTATAAGAATAAGGATGTTAAACGAGTGTAAAGTCCAAATATATTACGGTTATAGCACGAAAGTGACGGCTCGACCGGGGTAGGCCTACGCTCTCATATAATACCAGCGCAAAATAGCGGCTTCACGCTAGTGTGCTTCCTACGGTAAGTGTAGAGAACTGGAGACCCTTTTCATTGGAAACGAGGCATTCCATCTTATTCCTAAGGACTGACAACGTATCGGCATTTTTAATCTCAATCGAGAATAGATATATAGATGTCTGTGGGCCATGTCATCTACTTATTATCTACGGAATTGTAGCTTATTAGTTACCCTTGTTCTATAAAAAATTCTTCATCACAGCCTACAAAAAAAAATTACCTTGTAGAGGGGATATAAGCCATAGTTGCAAGTTGCAACGCTTGATTCGCGCAATTTCTTATTATTTTAAGTTTTTATCAGGAAAATGCTGCTTCTCATCCGTTGCATTTATAACAAAAATTACGATACAAAACATAAATTAAAACATCGGGTACAAAAAAACAAATTCAATTTTATGATATAACTTGTATTTCCTTTAAGTAATGAAACACATATCACAATAAGACAGTCAATTGAAGCTACTATTCTAAATGTACGTACAATATGCTACATGGAGTACACAGTCTACAGCGCTAAATGTACATAATATTATGATAAAAAATTACTATACTATAATGTTAAACACTCGCTGCCCGCAGTGCAATAAAAGGGGAAACAGAACGACGCCTGTTGCGCTCTCTGTCGCACTTATAGGCCTTACGAGAGGCCTGTCGCACTAACGGGCCTTACGGCACGCCGGCAAGTGCTGTAGACAGCGCAAAGGACAACAGGCAGCATCTTGTTTCTCAATTTTATTGTACCATCGGTACTATATGGTATTATATTGTACATTTTTGAAACATGTATAGCTGGTATTATATGGTACATTTTTGAAACATGTATACTCTCGCACATTATTTAACTTTACATTAGTAAAATTGTGCGCTAGTAACTTAATCTATCATCATAAAAATGGTTGTAGAATTCAATTATGCATTTAAATATAATTAAGTGTATACATGTGTATACTGTATACTATAAACGTTTAATTTGTATAATTGTCGCAAACGTTATATCAATTTTCGAATTAACTATTTTTGAATCACAAGGAATTCTGTTTCTTAATGCAATATGTTATGTCTAATACATACATAATACATATATATAATCTAAACACAACACCAAATATTGACAATACTATTTTGGTATATTAAATAGACATTTTAATGAAATAACACTGAATTATATATCATTTATAGAGGGACCTGTACACTGAAATTGAAATAGTATAATGCTTAACAGACATTAAAATACACCCAATCGATCACATTTTTGTAACGCAATGAAATTAATTCCTTACTTTTATTATTAATTGATATTGAGTAATTGTAAGTTGTAAAAAAGGGAACAAATAACAGATATAGAATTTTTCATAAAAAGTAATGAAACATTAACCCTTAATTACTCGCGTGGGGTATATTTAACCCCACGGCGTATTTGAAGCGTCGTATCTCCGCCATTTTTAAAGTTACCTCCATGCCGATCTTAGTAGCTGCCTAAATACCTCCCCCCGCCGCGAATCAGTCACGAGCGCCGCTCCGTGTCGTGTGGTTGTGTCAGGAGATCGTGTCTGGGGTATATATTGCCCCACGCGAGTATTCGTGCAACTTTTTTTTGGACGAGTGAGTATTTTTATTTTTATTTTTTAATGTGCAGTACAGATACTAAATGGTTAGGTTTTTTTACTTATCTTTGTTTTCTGTTCTTTTTTAGGTTATAACACCTAAAATGGCAAGTAAGCGTCTTTATAACTACCAGATTCTTGAGCGTATATTAGAAGACGACGAAGAAAGCATCATAGATAGTCCCGATGAAGATGAGGGAGACGATGAAGTGATTCAGAGTGACCACAACTCAGAATCTGAAGAAAGTGCCAATGAAACCGAGTTAGAATGGAGTGATGACGATAATGAACCGCTGAGTAGACACGCAAGTAAAGATTCTGATAGCTTTTATTTATCAAAAAAGAAATGCACAAAGTGGGCAAAAGAGCCGCCGCGTACTAGCGTTCGAGTTCGTAGACACAATATTATGAGGGAAACACCAGGACCTAAGGGAGCAGCCAAGGAGATACATACAATGTCAGAAGCATTCTTTTGTATGTTTTCAATGGATACTGTCAATTTAGTACTGCAACAGACCAACGATTACATAAAATCGATACAAGGAAAATTTCAACGCGAACGTGATTGCAAATTCCTAGAATACGAAGAACTTTCGGCTTACCTAGGTTTGCTTTACATGTCTGGTGTGCTGCGTTCATCTCACTTGAACTTCAAAGATCTGTGGGCTACCGATGGAACAGGCATCGAGTTTTTTCAAAACACAATGTCATTCAACAGATTTCTTTTTATATCAAGATGTGTTCGTTTTGATGACAAAAATACTAGATCTGAAAGGCAAAAGACAAACAAACTAGCAGCAGTCAGAGAGTTCACTGATTTGATGAATAATAATTTCATCAATAATTACTCTGCATCTGAAAATGTCACCCTAGATGAACAATTACCTGCCGTTCGAGGAAGATTTTCTGGTGTTGTTTATATGCCCAACAAACCCACGAAGTACGGCATAAAGCATTATGCACTCGTAGACTCGGCAACATTTTATTTACTGAAATTTGAAATTTATGCTGGAGTACAACCTGAGGGTCCATATCGAATGCCTAATGATACAGTAAGTTTGGTAAAGCGCATGACAGAACCCATCTGGGGTACTGGTCGAAACGTTACGATGGACAACTGGTTCACTAGCGTCCCTCTTACAAATACGCTTCTAAAAGATCACCAGCTTACTATGGTTGGAACTATTCGCAAGAATAAGCCGGAAATTCCAACTTGCTTCCAGCCCAAACGAACACGAGCTGAGCATTCCAGTCTGTTTGGTTTCCAAGAAGACGTAACACTTTGCTCTTACGTTCCAAAAAAATCTAAAGCTGTACTGCTGATTTCGTCAATGCATCATGACAATAAAATAGTTGAAAGTGAAAAGAAGAAACCGGAAATTATTTTGTACTACAATCGCACGAAAGGTGGCGTAGATACCAACGACCAAATGTGTGCTAACTATAACGTCGGCAGACGTACAAAGAGATGGCCTATGGTTATATTTTATCACCTTCTCAACGTTGCTGGTATCAATGCATATGTCATTTATAAAAATAAAATTGACCACGGACTATCAAGAAGGGAGTTTTTGAAGCATCTTGCAGTTGATTTGGTAAAGGCTCGCCAACAAACTCGAGCAACTATACCACAACTGCCTAGGGCCGTACAAAAACGGCTAAAAAGAAATGCTCAAGTTCAGGATCCTAGCCCCACTTCCAGAGGTGGTCCATCGACAACTTATAAAAGGTGCCATATCTGTCCAAGGTCGAAGGATAAAAAAATAAGATTTATGTGTGCCAAATGCCACCAGCAAGTTTGTCACGACCATTCCACTATGATATGTGATAAATGTATTGATTAAAAAGTTCCTAAATTTAAAGTTTCATATCTTTAAAAGTTTTTAAGGATACTATTACAATTTAGAACAATGTTGCCTCTTTCAAATTTTTATAATAAAAAAAAAGTATGTCATTAAAAATATGTTTTATTGTACCTTTACAATTGGGGTTATATATTCCCCACGCGAGCGTAAGTGTAACTATATGGACGCGAGTAATTAAAGGTTAACATAATAAAACATAAGAAATAAAAAAAATAATCAGTATATAATCATTTTGTAATTAATAAATTATAAATAAAATCTATAATAACATAATAATCAAATATTAGGCTCTAAGAAGGGACACAAATTTTAGTTTTAATGTACCTACCATTTTAAATATACAGCAAAATAAATTCTACATAAATAATATCACAACAAGTTATTATTTAACGCTACATCAAATTAGCTAATATTAGAAAATTTTGTAAATTCGAAATTTAAACATGCACACACGAGAAAAATTGATCTTAGAAATAAAAACGTGTGCAAATACAATCACATCCCAGAATTACAGAACATGTAGTTCAAGTAGGCTACTCGTACAGTCTTTGACGATAAGAATAATCTCGCAACTAAAGATTATTAAAATTTAGATAAAAAATTAACATTTAGGTTTTAAGTAGAGTGAAGAGTAATAATTTATTGTCACTTTTTTATTAGGTAAAAGACGGAGAACACTATTTTTTTAATTTGTCAAACATTTTGATAAACAATTGTTAAAAAATGAGAATTAAGATAATCCTAAAAATAAAACATTGCCGATGGCAAACAATGTATTCTGCCTCTGTCATACACGTTTAATCATGTTTGCATATTAACAAGAAATAATTTATAAAAACCAGCTGTAGATGTTTTGAAGATAGTAATAGTAATAAAATTTTGTTAAAAAAATTAATTATACCTACAATTGCGCTAAAACTGAATTAAAAACGTAAAAGCACAGCACCTGTATTGGATACAATAACTGAACTAATAATTTAATTTCCGCCAAACAACTAGTTTCAATAAATAATAACTAAAATAAATATGAAATTGATACTAGTTTTAGCTACGTACAAAATATACAAATGAACACCTCTACTGTGAACTTTGTACAACAGCACACACGTTACTAACAATAAAGAAACAAAAGTTTCAACTTAAAAGACAAAAATAGTAAAACTATTATGTTCATTTATCTATCTTTAAATATTTTATCTTTAAATATTATATTATCTTTAAATATTTGAATCAAAAGGATATTTTTTTGGTATTTCATATCACTGAACGAAAATGTGATAGCGTTGGCGATAGTTGTATACGAAACAGTATCAACGCAGCTAGTAACCTCCACTTTACTTTTGCGGATCTGAAATGTAGAAATTTTGTTCTTTAGTAAGAAGTATTTGTGTAAATCATGTACGGAGAGTTGTGTTTCCATATTATTGTAGTATGGCAGCGTAAAGTTACATGCTACAACAACTTGACCTTTCCCGAAATACAATATTAACTATTACTTTAAGTAGAAGTAGATTACAATTTAAAACGGCGTTTTCGAACCGTCTCATACCAACATAAGAGACAGACAGAGCGCTGCGTACATTTCAAGTGATTCCGAAACCTTGCTCAACTTCTTGACATGCATTTAAATAATACTAGTTTTTACGGATTTTATCGCGTATATTTAACTATAAATACCCGACGTTTTGAGCGCTTTACATTTAATTGCACCCATTATACTTAAAGTAAACTATAACGGGCAACGCTTTACAGCCCCTGGTTATTTTGCAGTGTTCGCGTACATATAAGAAACCATTATTCTTGACACGCACTCACGCACACATCTTTCTTCTTTCTTTCATTATTAACCCGTAAGAGTTGACTGCTGGAATCATACATAGGCAAATCCATGTTGTTGATTCCAAATGATTTAAGATGCATACATATCTGCATGTGGATGCGTGTTGTTACAATAAGTTAGCATGATTTTGAGTTGGTTTTTCATTTCAAGTGAAACGCTCTTTGTTGGTCTAAGTCGACTGCAAGTACAAACAGACAACGTAAGTATATTGAATGTGTATGTGTAGCCCTTATTGGAATATTATCTAATTATTTTATTCAAACAATTAAACACTGGATTTAGATTGCCCAAACTTTAAAAATGAGTTTTTATAGAAAAAAACGTCAAATTAGTTCAATAATATCATTTTTTTGTGTGTAATCTCTATATATCGAGAGAAAGGTAAAGTATCTAAATCCGCTACAAGGGGAAATACGAGCGGTAAGATGAAAAGCTTTTTAGAGATCTATTGCCGTCGCGCTGTGCGCGAAGGAACGAACTAAACAACTGAGAGAAAGTAGAGCTAATCCTCGTTATATCTAGAAAAAAAAAATGATTAAAGCATATTTTTATTTATTCTTGTTTCCTCCTTCAAAACTGAATGTATTTTAATACTTTTTCAAGAACAATACAAGAAGGATTGTGGTTATGTTTGTGGGTATTCCTTTTATTTGTTATGGTTATTAAATTAGTTTGCTGGACGTGTAATTTTAGAGTTTCTAGTTTTTATTATAATTAATTAATAGAAAAAACAAAACGAATAGGCAGATTATTACCGTTGGCGAGTCTCACCATAATGTTCAAATCAGCAGAATATTCTGATTGCAGGCAACAGTCATAATATGCCGAGCTGCTGTGTGGGCTTCTCATGCACTTCGTTTTTAGCATATAATTTTAAGTTAGTCTTAAGCAAGTTCTCTAGCGATTAAACATTTTTTCATTAATAAATTAGCATTTTAAAACGTCCTCTGGGTCTGCCCCCTGCATAATTTGACTAGATTGTATCATAAAAATAATATTTATTCTAGTGTCACTATCCGGGGCGAAAGCAATCGTCTGTATAGACTAGACGTCGGCCAAATAATGTTAAGAGGGCATATGCGTTTCGCGTCGAAAACTACATGTTTTATGGTTTTTCTAAAGGCGATATCGTAACGACGTGAGGAGATTATTTGCTGAAAATTAGGGCTTTAGAAAGATGAGGTCTTTATTTAGTACATAGCAGTGCAAAATCATATTTTAATGACGGTTTTTTAGGACGAAGACAATCCCTTCACAGCGTTTTACGAAAATATGCATCAGAGTTATCTTTCAGGTTGAATACAACCATTATTATAAGCTAAAATACTTTATTTTAAGCGTTATTATAATGGAATATATAGTCTTTTAGTGTATAGCAAAATCTAAATTACGAAAATATTTCGATTTAATATTATAAAATCACCAAAACTGTCTACTTCAATGTAATTTTTTCCATGTATTTGGTTATAAAAATATCTATTTTAATTATTTTATCAAAATACATGTAATGTCAAATATCCAAAAAAAATTTTAGCTCGTTTTATTTTGTCAATTATTTTATATAATTATTTTAAAAATACTATAAAACATCATGCGCAGACGCCGTTCGATTCAGTACGCTCCGGGTAATCCCAACGACAGGACGTATTACTTTTTCTCACCGACACCGCGCGATCGCGTTGATACACCGATAGGGCTATACTACACTATACAATAACTAGATACCTATAGCACCATCGAACATTTTAAACGATTGACTTTTATAAGCGATATTTTTGGTAGTAACTAATTTTGAAATATGTTTATGATTGTAATATTTAAATATTAAATGATGTAATGGTGGCAAATTTTCATTTCATACATATTTTTTTAGAAATGAGTAATGAACGTAAGCAATTCGGATCAAGTAAAAATACAAAATCGGCTTTCACCTTTGGCTCCGTGGCGGAGTGACTTGGTAATGAGTTGGCGCTGAGCGCCGCGGGTTCGAATCCCACATGGAACAAAAATTTGTATTATCTACAAATAATTGTTCCAGGTCTGGATGTTTGTCCTTGTGAAATTAATGTATTTAAACTGCCCCCACGATGTACTTAGAAAAAATTCCTAGTGTGGAAATAACGTTATGATTAAACAAAGACATGCCATCAAAAACATAACTTGTAAAATAACCAAGTCTCGCAATGATGATACGGCCGTGCCGCTGTTTTGCTCGACTTGGCGGGGGCACTACCGTGCCCCCAGATATAAAATATATGAGCCGTACTTGAGTCGAGTAGCTCAAGGGCGTAGTGCTCGCCGTAAACGCGAACAATCCGGGCTCGATCCCCGCTGGTGTTGCCAGGTGTCCCGATTTGCGCGGGACGTCCCGATTTTCAAGGGTCTAGTGACACGTCCCGATTCACCCTTGATCGGGACGCCAAATGTCCCGATTTTCACTAACCTTCATATTCTATACTTTAATCCATAATTTTGACAGCAAAAATGATTACATCTGTTAGCTACTACTACATTAAAATATTTTTACTACGACATTGTCTCACCAGTCGACAAAAAAAAAACACAAAAGTTTTAAACAGAATTATATTAAAATGAGTGATTTGAAAAATTCAGGGACTGCAAAAAAAACAAATAGTTCAAAAATGTTTTAATTTGCCTAAAATGAAAAAAATTCAGTTTTTACGATGTTTGGATGAAAAGTTATTCGTTTATGAGATCAGACCCGAATAATAATTATAAAGCACAAAAGTAAAGTAAATATTTACAGTGAGCGTTGACCGACCATCTGAGCTACCACGGCTCTCAATAAAGCACAAAAAAGGCTACAAAGACCTATATTTTGTAGTCATTGTAGTTGTCCGGATGTGAAAACCAAATCACCGATTATTTTTACCTTCCGTCCCGAAATTTTACTTGCTAGACCTGGCAACACTAATCGCCGCCGACACTAATGAAATTGTTAGTTTGATGAATTATGTTTACATTATGAAACACAATAAAAGTTTATCAAATGATATATATTTTATACAATACATATTTTTCAATTAGAACATATAATACATATTATAATATACTCATTAGGGTGAAAATGTAAAGCCGACTTCAATTTAGTAAAAGAATAAAACAATTTCCACATATTAGCCTCCGATTTCTATACACTATATAGGTAAGGCATTATATGGAAATTATTTTTTTATTATTTTAGTTCCAATAGTATCAAAGACAGGCATATAATCAAAGATCAAAGTAATTCGTAGTCGTCGTTAGGCAACTATTATAGCCTCACGCTCGCCCTGATACGCACACAGAGATAACATTGTAGTGTGTGTCAATATTACGCCGTTCCAAAGCGATCGCGTAGATTTCCACTTGGACATATTTGAGTATGCGCTCTTAAGAGGAAATGCAGGCAACAAGGCAACAAAGGAGTAAGTTTTTATTAGATTTGTAATAATAACTGTCCCAGTGCTCAAGCGACTGAGTAAGACAACTGTAGCTCGGAATGATTTCACCCATGGAAAATTGACGAAAACATCATTTCGAATTAGTTCGGGTTTAGTTTTATTTAAATTATTTTATATTGAAATATATCGTTATGCTGTAGAGCTTTTAAAATACCAGTAATAATATCGATTTAGCGTGCGTCTCCCACAGCATGCGACATAGATGCGTGCGTGCGTGCGTGCGTGCGTGCGTGCGTTCGTGTGTGTGTGTGTGTGTGTGTGTGTGTGTGTGTGTGTGTGTGTGTGTGTGTGTGTGTGTGTGCTTGTGTGTATGTGTGTGTGTGTGTGTGTGCTTGTGTGTATGCGTGTGTGCGTACGTATTGCGTTTGCGTGTGCGTGTATGTGTGGCAGCTCACCGGGCTGATGCGCAGCAGCGGGCGACCTCGGGACGCCGTCGGGCACTCGCGCATATAGGCGAGCACCTCCCACAGCATGTGACGTGATGTTCGTGTGTGTGTGTGTGTGTGTGTGTGTGTGTGTGACAGCTCTCCGGGCTGATTTCGCAGCAGCGCGGCGACCTCGGTGACGCGGTCGTGGCACTCTCGCATGTAGGCGGGCGTCTCCCACAGCATGCAACGTGATATGCGTGCATGCGTGCGCGTGTGTGTGTGTGTGCGTGTGTGTGGCAGCTCACCGGATTGGTGTCGCAGCAACGCAGCTACCTCGGCGACGCGGTCGCGGCACTCACGCATGTACGCGTGCGCCTCCCACAGCATGCGACGTGGTGTGCGTGTGTATGTGGCAGCTCACCGGACAGGTGCCGCAGCAACACGGCGACCTCGGCGACGCGGTCACGGCACTCACACATGTACGCGTGCGCCTCCCACAGCATGCGACGTGGTGTGCGTGTGTGTGTGGCAGCTCATCTGGCTGGTGTCGCAGCAACGCGGCGACCTCGGCGACGCGGTCGCGACACTCAAGCATGTACGCGTGCGCCTCGCACAGCATGCGACGTGGTGTGCGTGTGTATGTGGCAGCTCACCGGACAGGTGTCGCAGCAACACGGCGACCTCGGCGACGCGGTCACGGCACTCACACATGTACGCGTGCGCCTCCCACAGCATGCGACTTGGTGTGCGTGTGTGTGTGGCAGCTCATCTGGCTGGTGTCGCAGCAACGCGGCGACCTCGGCGACGCGGTCGCGGCACTCACGCATGTACACGTGCACCCCCCACAGCATGCGACGTGGTGTGCGTGTGTGTGTGGCAGCTCACCTGGCTGGTGTCGCAGCAACGCGGCGACCTCGGCGACGCGGTCACGGCACTAGCGCATGTAGGTGTGCGCCTCCCACAGCATGCGACGTGGTGTGCGTGTGAGTGTGGCAGCTCACCGGGCTAATGCCGCAGCAGCGCGGCGACCTCGGCGATGCGGTCGCGGCACACACGCATGTAGGCGTGCGCCTCCGACAGCATGCGACGTGGTGTGCGTGTGTGTGTGGCAGCTCACCTGGCTGGTGTCGCAGCAACGCAAGGCGACCTCGGCGACGCGGTCGCGGCACTCGCGCATGTACGCGTGCGCCTCCCACAGCATGCGACGTGGTGTGCGTGTGTGTGTGTGTGGCAGCTCACCTGGCTGGTGTCACAGCAACGCGGCGACGTCGGCACGCGGTTGCGGCACTCGCGCATGTACGCGTGCGCCTCCCACAGCATGCGACGTGGTGTGCGTGTGTTTGTGGCAGCTCACCTGGCTGGTGTCGCAGCAACGCGGCGACCTCGGCGACGCGGTCACGGCACTCGCGCATGTAGGCGTGCGCCTCCCACAGCATGGCAACGAGGCGGTCGTCGGCGCGCTCGTCCATGGCGACGTCGCGCGCCAGGCGCGGGGAGAAGCGCTGGTAGGGCACGCCCGCGCACGCGCACCACGCGCGCGCGCGCTCCACCACACGTCCGTCGCACTGCGTCGCCTGCACACCGCACACCACCCGACCCGCGTCAGTAAACAAGCCGAACAGAGACAAAGCTTCGAAAGAGCGTGCAATTCCTTTACCTATTTTGGTCACACTTCTCAGTACGAAACCGGCAATTCAGAACAAAAACTGTTACAACTGTGGATCAGCGTCAGCTAAACTGATAGCTAGCTCAGTAAATATGCCACGTAATCGTGTTTTCCTTTCAAATACGTCAGTTTTAACATAGTGCTATAGTAGTATACGTAGAAAGTCTCTGATTTTGGTATAGTTGGAACTGGAGGATAAAATGACACAAAAAAAAAAATGAAAACAAACACGATACGCGACATGTACATCCAGATTTTGAACATTGGTCGAACTCTGTATAAAGTGCAAAGTGTTCCCGTTTTATGAAGTTTTGTCTATTCCGTTTCTTCACTCATGTGGCCGATTTCGTTTACATTTTATCATTTAAAACAACATGTTATATTTACACAACAATGAACAACACACAAAAAATATGAAGTAAAATCGAATCATAATCGATTATTTAATATTGTATTAATTGTAATCGCGCAATATGCGTATTCGCATCTCTAGTTTTCCCTCCTTGTCCTCCCCGCTTCTTGTCACCATTTATAGTAACTAGCTGTGCCCGCGACTTCGTTCGCGTGGAATCAGTACTTTTGCTATTCTAAGTGATGATGATTTATTTGTAAATTAAACAGTCGCGACATTTAGAAAGACACTTATCTGAATAAAAACATTCAATTAGTCGGTCAATCACACACACAAACGAACCAAGAAATGAATAGCCCAAACTGTACACTTGTGATTTATTTTGTAAATAATCAAGGACTAGTAAATATCCTTTAATTTCTGTGACTAGTGTATATATTTTATAGTAGCAAATATTTGAAAATTATTTAAATTAAAATTAAACTTCTAATAAAATAATTTCCAGATATAATTTTTTTGAAATCGGTGCTAATACACCCTCGTAAGTCATAGCAAGAATTAAAGTACCGACTTCAAAAGCTGTTAATACTAGTATTATATATAAAATCGTTTTCACTGCCTAGAAGACTGCAATACAGTGGACGATATGAATGACAAGCTGGTGGAAACTGACTATGCGGTGGACCAAAGTTCTGCAAGAATCGCCGCAGAACAACACAAAAACACTCCGATCACACTCTTAATCTCATGGCTGCTAGACGGGAAATGAAGCTGCAGTCTTCAGCAGATTTGACAACATACAGGCAACTGAACAGACAGATCACCAAATACATGCGGCGGGACTAACGCAATTTCAATACAGCTCGTATTGAAGAAGCGATTGAGCTCCAGGGCTCCAAAGTCTTTGCCAGAGTCTTGTCTGCCAGAAAGAGCCAACTGTCGACGCTGAAGACCTAGTGTGATAGTATCGTTTCCGGGAAAGCTGAGATTTTGAGTGAGATTGATAGGTTCTATGGGCAGCTGTACACGTCATCGTTGGTTACACGTCACGGTTGCGAGTGGCGCAAGTGTGAGTAACGATGCAAGAGCAAGTCTTATCCGACACTATTCCGATGATAGCCCAGACGTCAGTTTGAGCGAGATTAGAATGGCTTTCCAGCACCTTAGAAACGGCAAGTCCGCGGGAGAGGATGGAATTACAGCGGAGCTTCTGAAAGCAGGTGGAAAACCGGTACTTTAAGTCCTTCAGAGGCTCTTTAATTCCGTCCTCCATGGTGGCACTACTTCGGGGGCGTGGAGCAGAAGTGCGGTGGTCTTGTTCTTCAAGAAAGGTAACAACGCTCTCTTGAAGAACTATGGACCGATTTCCCTTCTGAGCCGCGTCTACGTGCTTTTTAGTTTTCGAGAGTCATTAGTCATTACGAATCGTCTCGCACACAGGTTCGACGACTTCCAGCCTCCCGAACAAGCCGGTTTCCGAAAAGGTTTTAGTACCATAGACCGCATTCATACCCTTGAGCAAACTGTACAGAAGACCGAGGAGTTCAATGTGCCACTTTTTGCCTTTGATTCCGTCGAAATTTAGGCGGTGCTACAGTCCCTTCAGCGATGCCAAGCTGACTGTCGGTATATCGAAGTGCTGAAGTGTTTGTACAGTAGGGCTACGATGGCTATCCGAGTACAGAACCAGCGTACGAAACCTATCCAACTGCAGAGAGGTGTAAGACAGGGTAAACTTATATCCCCGAAATTCTTCACCGCTGCATTGGAAGACGTTTTCAAACTACTGGACGGTATTAACATCAGTATCGAGTACATCACCTTCAATTCGCCGACGATATAATCCTTATGGCAGAATCACTGGAGGACCTAAGCACTATGCTCAATGACCTCAATAGTGCCTCCCAATGGATAGGTCTTAATATGAACTGGACAAAACGCTGAGCTCGAAGTTTTTGACGAGTATGTTTACCTGAGACAAATAGTCCGACTAGGTAAGATCAACTTCGGCCGAGAGGTCAATCAACGGATTCAACTCGACTGGGCAACGTTCGGGAAATAACGATACATCTTCTCATCAGCTATACCTCAAAACCTAAAAAAGGAGACTGTACAACCAGTGCGTGTTGCCAGTGATGATTTATGGAACTAAGACGTTGTCCTTCACTGCTGGCCGTATGAGGACGCTCAAGGTCGCTCAGCGAGCTATGGAGAGAGCTATGCTCGGGGTGTCTCTACGTGATAAATTTACAAATGAGGATATCCGCAGTAGAACCAGAGTGACCGACATAGCCCAACGGATTAGTAAGCTGAAGTGGCAATGGGCCGGCCATATAGCTCGAAGAACCACTAACCGATGGGGAAATGTTCCCGAATGGCAGCTTCGTACCGGTAGGCGAAGTGTAGGGCGACCCCCCACTAGATGGAGTGACGACCTGGTAAGACATGCAGGAAGTCGATGGATGCAGGTGGCTCTGGACCATGCTTTGTGGCATCCTTGGGGCCTGTGTTCAACAGTGAACTTGTGAAGGGCTGTAATGATGCTGATGATTCAACAATCTAGCAACACGAACAGTCGAGTCAAGCAACACCGCATTAGTCGGTTTGTAGTGTCGTTTCGGGCGCGTCAAGTCACGTGTTGTTTTTATAAACAAATGAAGAAAATGAATGGTTATAAGAAAGAGCAGAGCGCTGCGTACATATCAAGGCCCACATCTTCTTTCTTTATCAGAACGTAAATTTCACAGCTAGACACACGCCTAAAACCATGTTGTTGATTTGAAATGATTTAAGGTGCAAATGTGTACGTGAACGCTTGTTCTTACAATAAGTTGAGCTGATTTTGGCAATGTTTTTCGCGTCTCTTTAAGTGTACACAGCGCTCCGCTTTCTTCCTTTGTTGATCTGAGTTATATGTATGTATCATAAATGAAGTTCAAGAAATATTGGTCTAAGTAGAAGAATAAAAGCAGTATAATGCCCGGTTTACATTATTCCAGTCCAGTGATCCAGCGCGAATCCAGTCCAGTGCTGGACTGGATCTGTAACGTCTACATTTTTCCAGTTATTTAGAAGCCGTTGAAGTGTGAACACTACAGTAACAGCACTAGAATAACGCTGGATTGGGGCCGTCTACATTATTCCAGTTGATTCAAAAGCAGACCGCCAATCGTTGGAATGGAATTGGAATGCTTACCGGATTCAGTGCATTCCAGTGCCCTTTACATTTTTCCAGTAAGTAATCCAGCGCTGGATTCGATCGCTGGACTGGAATAATGTAAACCGGGCATTAATATTTTACTTCTTTTTTCTGTAGTTGTTCTCGTCCGGTTTCGGTTTGGGCAGGTTGGGATGGGATTGTTACAATCAACAATACTTGTTTTTCAACTTTATACGAGCCAATTTTGTTTTCAAAAGATATTACAAATAGTACATAGCGTCTCACTAATCACCATTTCGTCGACTTGAGTAAATATGTATGGCTTTTGGGAGTTTTTGACATGGGGATCTGGAGGACATGGGCCTTCCTTATTGATCCGTTGTAGGAAGGATTCGCCTTTTCTTACTATTTTTAAAAGGCCGGCATCAATCTGCAATTCCCCTGGTGTTGCAGCTGTTCATGGGCGGCGGTAATCACTTACCATCAGGTGAGCCACAAGCTCGTTTGCCCCCTGTCGTATATAAAAAAATAATAATTATAAAGAACATTGCACATGACTTTCAATTTTTTATGCACCTACCTGATCTACTAATAAATTTCCTAGTGCACTAAGTCCCCATGCGAGCCGCGCTGTGTCCCATAGACCTTCCGGCTTAAATACATCGTAGTCCTTTATTTCACTAACTGGAATACGTCCTGAAAATAAATTCAACAACCTGTCATTAAACATTTCGACGATCGTATGGACTAGCAGAGTAGCGTTATGGCCTGGTTTGGTTTAAAGACTAAATATTTACAATTTACTAGCGACCCCGCTTGGTTTCTCCTGGTTAGGTTTTAACAATGTGGCGTTATTTTGATTAATGATAATCAAATGATGATAAATAATTATTAATTCTTAGTTACTTTTTAAATATTTCCAAGGTCTTCGAATAAAATATAGCCTAGATACCTCCTCGCATTGCTTTCTCTCTCTCTCTCTCTCTCTCTCTTTCTGTCTCTCTCTTCGTAAAGTTTAATTGCAATCGGTTGAGCCTTTCTGAAGATTATAGATTAGCCTGCAGTTAATTCCCTGAGCTGAATAAAAAGTTAGATATTACAGACAGACTTTGAGCGGTGACGGACGGACGTTTATAATAAATAAATTATTTTAAAATATCTAAAATTACCCCATTATACCGCTGTTATACCAGCCCGAGGCACAAAGGAGTGTTCCAGTTTGTATCCCGGGTGGGAGAGATATGAAGTATCAGCCAGAGAGGACACCTGCGTCTCGTTCGAGTGAAGTCACCTGATATTGCAGAAATCCACGGATAGCGTGGCAGGGGTCGCCTTGGTCGTGTTGCTCAGCTTGCCCCGAGAAATCTTGAGCGGAATTATGCCCCCCACCCCCTCTCCCAGAATACGCAGGGCAGCCCGAGCACCCACGATCAGGAGTAGAGTAGCTTGGTCGTGAATGCTCAGCGAGGGATTCTCTAGGGGTGCTATTATCCTCCTGGGGTAGTCTTACATTTAATTCCGCTATTATGTTGATTGGGAGAGGGAAGAGGGAAATTAGGCATCCAGCTATCTGCACTCACTAGACGAAACGTGGAAGCAGAGCTTCCACTTCATGCCGGTATTCTGTGAGGTCATGGTACCACCTCGGCTTGAGTCGACCCATATAATAACAATAATATTCTTATTATGAGCAAATTACTAATACCTTACATAACACCTAAGTGTATTCTACTACCAACTAATATCAAAGGATTCAGTTTGTTTTCTCACAACACTTAACCCTACAGTAGGAGCGGCCTTATTAAAGGCGCGTAACGGGCTAAGTGACACTCGAGCGCGGACGTAAGGTGCATTTTGATTAAATACGTGTGCCGCAATAAATTTTTTTCGACGATTTAATCAGTAGACTACTTTCACGAAGGTCGCTTCGGAGGCGTGCAAAGTATTATGAACATTAGCAACGTTGTAACTAGGTTTAAACTCGCAAGTTTGCTATCAGAGTGATCCTTCTGTTCCTATACTATCATTTATTCTGTGATAAAACCAAATGTTTGTTGCATTTTACACATTTTTTACTTATTGGAAGTTTGTATATCCTGTGCGTTGGTACGTGGTAGTTCACTAAGTAGGCTCCTTTGATTTTGTAATAATAGGTCGCCTTTTCTATTTCTGTTAGCAGTGAAGTTATCCACTGTTGTTTTCGGGCTTAAAGGGTGCAGAGTCAAACTCAAAGTCGTGGGATCAAATTAGCTATTTGACTACTATGGTAAGTGACTCCTAAAACGAGCATGTTGATCTTACTGGATGTGGTTAACAGGAGTATTAGTAAGGTTGCTAGTATTCTTTATTTAAAAAAAATAATGAACTCCTGAATTTGTTTACTGAACTAGGAACCCAGCAAGTAGATGGAGTGAGTAGAACAAACCCAAAAAGTACCTAGTACCGAAATAATAGCAGCCCCATAGTGTTCACTAGCGCGATTCGGACCGTACATAATGTAATTGCTGCAACCACATTTTATAATTATTTAGTACTGTCTTGTAAAAAATAATTATATTAAAATTCATCAGTTAATCTTATACAGAATACTAGATTTGTATTTTGATTTCCTCTCCCTTTTTCCTGGCTTCACTTTTTTATTTTATTCGCTCCATCTTTCTTATTCTTTCGTCAGAGTTTCTGAAATAGATACGTGAATATACGTAAGGAATACAAACCTGTTCCGCAAGACACAACAATCTTGAGATTCGTCTTTTTAGCCTCTTCATGTTGGCCAGTGCCCTCGTAAGCGAGACGTAGCTCAGCTAACTCAGTCAAGGCATCCAGCGTTGGGTTATTACCCATTAGCCCACCATCTATATATCTGAGGATGTTGAAAATCTATAATTATTTTTGAGATGGACAAAAAGTAGATCACAAATTATTAAAGAAAAAGAATTTGTAGACGGACAGCATTAGCACGTGAACACTTACACCACACATTTTTATTTAGTAAACGCTGCAACCTACTTTTAGCCGCGCGTCGCGTGTTTTTTTATTTGCAAACTGACAATCGGCAGTACGTCAACAACCGTCCTTCGAAACATCAACTACTCAAAGAAAGATTTGCCACTCTAACTTTATAACTATTTTACTTTTAATTAAACTTTTAACTTTGGTGACCTTTTCCTTTTTCTTTTTTGTTTTTTTGTTGTAGTTAGTTGATGAGCACATCGCTCATCCACTAACTACAACTATACTTCCTAAAAGTGTGTGGCCTTACAAACCATACACAGTGGGAATAAAAACCTTGCGCTTCTACATATCCTGTAAACAATAATATGAGAGTAAGAGATAAGAGCATAGGAGTGCAGAAGCAGTATAGGAGTGAGAGAGAACGCATAGGCGTTAGACGAAAAAAAGGGTAGGAGTGAAGAAGAAAGTGTAAGAGTGTAAGAGACAGCATAGAAGTGAGAGAGTGTATTAGTGAAAGATAGCGTGCCGGTGGCGCGCGCGGCCTGCCACATCAGCTGCTCGGCGAGCAAAGGCGCACATACAAGTGCAGCAGACCGCGGAGGAGCGAGGGAGACAGCGCAGTGCAGACAGCGACAGCGAGAGGACACACCGCCCCGAGGCGCGGAAGTAGGAAGGCACGCCGCCCGTGGCGCGCGCGGCCTGCGACACCAGCTGCTCGGCGGGCGGCGGCGCACATACAAGTGCAGCAAACCGCGGGAGAGCGAGGGAGACAGCGCAGTGCAGACAGAGACAGCGAGAGCACGCACCGGCCCGAGGCGCGGAAGTAGGAGGGCGCGGCGCCCGTGGCGCGTGCGGCCTGCCACACCAGCTGCTCAGCGGGCGGCGGCGGCGCCGCCAGCGACACCACGGTCCGCCGCGCGCCGGTCTCCGCACCCGCCGTACTCGCCGCACCACGAGGACCTGCCCGCACATTGTTTTAGTTTACTCCCATAAGAATAGATTTTTCACGTGAATATGTCTTTAAAGTTGCTTCCATGGTAGGAGGCAAATCATAAAAGTCATTAAAACAAAAACAGATACAGTTTGATGTTGCAACTACATATCTATAATCTACATTCAAAATAGAATTAAACCACATGATTACTAAAGGATCAAAGAATTCGTTACATTGAGAGGGAACTGCAACTATTTGCGTGCGTAGTAGGTGGGAAGTGCCGCGATTTTGAGGTCGTTTCGCTGCGTCACATAATTTCCGTTTAGTATAAATTTTGACGTTACGTACACGTATTAACGTTAAACATCTAGCCGTGTCCACGACACAGCCACACAACATTTTTTTATATATATAGCGCGCGGTACACAAATTGTATGGGAATCAATGTAATATATTATATAGCAATATACTGGTAAGTAAATGATTACCCAATCACTTGGTAACAGTACCAAGACCTTTCTCTGTAATTTCATAAGTAGTGTATTATGGTTTAGAAGTACAGAAAAAAATCTACCTTTACAATATGCCTATTAACATTGACATACATGTCCATTATCATAAAACGATGTAGATATCTAACTACTATAAATTTTCTTCAAATGTAAATCACAAACCCAATATTACAGAATAAAAGTCATTACGACAGAAAACCGAATCAACCAAAATAAAAATCTACCGATATTAATCAAAGTAAGATAGGTTTAATCCACAAAAACCATCTATGTAAATTAAAAATAGGTCCCACAATACTACCCTGCAGCACATCAAATAGGATGCTGACTTCAGAAATAACCATCCCCGCTATATTCAGAGTTTGTTTTCTATTTAACATATAATCATTAAAAAGTTTTAATGGTATGCCACAGGCAGCAATATGATCTAGCTTATTCATTAATATTGGGACAGAGACTGTATCAAAGGCATTTGCCAAGTCCACGAAAATACTACAACATTTTCACCACCATCTCTCCTATCAATAACATAAGGAAACGAATTCATCAACGGAATTGTTATTTATATTGTATTAATATTGTAAATAAAGATTAGAGATTGTTCTGTGTAAAACCGAATTGGTTAGTAGGTTTAAGTTTCTTGAGATAATTTGTCTCCTGTTGATATTTTATTCCAACACCTTTCATAACGACGGAAGAAGATAAATTGGTCTGTAATTTGATATGATGTATTTGCCCCCTTCCTTGTACACACGTATAATGATTGATTTTTAGTGCATCCTGAAAAAAAGGCCCTAAAAGCTATTTTAACCACACAGTGTATTGGACCAACTTAGTCAGACCTATGATCAAGCCAAAGAGTATATGTAGTAGGTTAGGCCAATGACATTTTTTTAAATGAAGGTAAATATAACTTAGAGTCCTTACCATGTTCTTATACAAAAATAAAAAAATATCAACAATTCAAATATCTAATTATTATTTGTTGGTCAAGTGAGCGCTAGACAAACGATGATTGCAAGACGTTGAGTGGCGGTTGTATGAATATCCATATCATCACGTGGATGTGGTAAGAGGCGACTTACTTGGTAAAAGTGCCATTTTTAAATAAACGTGACCGTCGTTCCTGTTACAAAAAATTCACAGGGAAAAATCATCGTAACTGTTACGTTACTTGGGACATTAGAACGACTCATAACGTGAATTTATACATATATGCATTTTAGATTTAGTATTAGGTTTTATTTCAGCAGTCGATTTTTTATTACCTTCCTTACCTAAGCTACGTGGCTATGTTATTAGTACCATTCTGACTATTATTTTTGAAATATGTATAAGAATTACAGCTAACCTAGCCGATGAGTCGGTGTACCGTTCGAGTACACGATACACGTACCTTATTACACAGTAACAAGGAATATGTTAAGTTAGATGAATAAATAAATATTATTTTTAGAAAATTCTATTGATGCTCAACGCCCATGTCGGCAAAATCCGACAATAGGAACGGGATTATGCAAAGATACCGATACAAAAATAAACATAAATCAAATATTTCTCTTTATACTAATTTAGGTACCATACAAATAAAATAAATACAGAAATTGTTAATAGAATATTTTCTACAAATATTTGTGGGTATTTTATTTCATTCCTTTGAAGATAAGTCTAACGTCAGCGTACTGAATTGATGGTTCTCTATATCTAGCCTACATGTTTACAAAATAGAATATAACTATGTAACGTAATTATTGTTATTAGTACGTCCAGCGCCACGGTTTGGAGAAAGACGACGACTTCTGAAGCCATAAACGAGTGCCGTCTTCTTGAATTTTCCATCTGTGTTATGCTTTTGCGTTGTTTTACGTTCGAGTGAACAATTTTTATAGTCAAAATAGTTTCCAAAAGTATTTGGACTTCGAAACGTATTTTATTGAGTGTAAGAAGTAACATAATTACAAAATACTCATGTTTATTTTGTTTCATAGGAAAGATTGAAGAGAGACAGCCAATTTTGGCCTCATTTTTTACCAAACCATTTTTTGACTTAATTGAAATGAACTTTCCTTGATGGAAATCGAATTTAATGGTCTATATCGAATATTATTTTATATAAATGGCTTATGCAAAAGCAATTATGTACATGTAAATGTTCACTTTTTTTCAAAAACTAATGAATGTCATTAAACAATATTTTGACATTACATTATTAGTACGTAAAACTACGATCAAGCAATCAAAACCCTATATTGAAATAAGATAACCCCTTTTTAAGAGGATGTTTTTGTGTTTGATTAATAAACATCGTTTTATAAATTCGTACCTACGTTTTATTGAGCCAAAACATACCTTATAATTATCGCACATATATGTATACGTTTATGATTCTATACAACATGTAACATAATTAACGCACTTTGAAAAGTAGTTTGTTCAGAATCGTTTACTGAATCTATTCCTATCATTTTTAATATAGGTAATTTTTTATCCCAAAAATAATTAAAACTACGTAAATTACAGTTACACTAAATCTGTACAGTCAAAACAAACTGAAATGGACTGTAACTTAAGGCAATAAGACTTTTAAGAGTGCAGTTTTATTTGTATTATTACTAATTCTGTCATTCAATAAAAATAAAGAAAAATTAACTTTATTTCAAGCACGTTAAAGTCTTTGCGTTCGTGGATTTGTACTGTGACCACAACATTCTACCGGAATTAGTATAACTAATTTGATAAATAATCAGTGCATAAAAATGTTTAACTAAAAATTCAGTGTATGTATTATGATTATAACGTAATATACTAATTGGGGTGTCTGAGGGTGTGCCTGTGCCTGCCTGCCTGTGAATTTAGTTCAAACCGGACATTAGATATATTCAAACAGACATTGAATTATCAGATTAGTTTATTTTCCAATTAATTCTTACTTTATATTACAACATAACAAAAATATAATTGAAATAATATATGGACTGTCGTCTGTTGGTTTCTGCGTCGGTGAGTCTTCTCGCTTAATAGAATAGCAATAGATTGAGATATACTCGTATATTATTAAATAAGATTCCTTATATTCTAAGGAGGACCCCTATTGATTTTTGTTATTCAACTCCGTTTGCCAGAGAATTTGATCGACCTTCATTAATAACTTTAAACACCGTTTAAAGTTATTAATGAAGGTCGATCAGATTCTCTGGTTTTTGTTCTCGTAAAAATTATCGTCACTATTTTCATCTCTTTTAATTTTAATTTTCATGTGAGGCAAGGACTTTTAGATTTTTCAAATATTTTTTTATATTTATTTCATTTATTTTTATATTACTTACTCGAAGTTCCATTATATCGGTCGAGTATATCCTGTGCGGATTCGTAGTTCCTGAAGATGTGTAAGTCCACTGGTTTTCTGTCAGCAAGTACAGCCAGTATCATCAACTTTGGATGCGTTATATCCGCCATAACAGTTTCCGTTCCTGTTATTAAATATATTGTAAAGATCTATAAATTAAAATTCACTTTACTTATATAAAGAAAAAGAAAACAGTTACAAAGTGTAAAATCTATTATATAACGCGAACTACCACGATTCTGCGCCATTTTCATTTTTCGGCATTACTAATATCAACCTTTTTACCAACACTTTTAAGTGAGTTTCATCATATTTGCCGCCGATTATTAATGCTTCCACTGCTGTATTCCCATCTGAAGTACGTGTATATAGAAAGCCACTATAACTGTGCATTCCATCTAAGCATCATCTACGTTCTCAGAGGGTACAACGCATCCTTAGCCTTCCATTTAGCCTTGTTTGTTTAAAGTTGGTCCACGTACTGCTGTAGCCACTTACCTTCAGGTGGGTTGAACGTTCGTCACTTTAGTTTTTTTGTAAATGTCCACTACTAAATTCTATTCAGATCATCGTCTTACTTACCCAAACACTCTTTTAGGATTGACTCAAGCGGTTCTGAAGGGTAAGGTCGCATTCCAACAAAGGCGAACTCCTTCATACGGAAGTAAAGTTGTTGACATTCCCTCAGTGTCTTTCCGGCGGCTAAGGCCAATGCCAAGATACCGCCCGTGCTAGTTCCCGCCACCCAGTCGAAGCAATGGATGATAGGCTGCTCGATAGCCGCTTCAAGATTAATGAGTAGTTGGATTAGAACGAGACCTCTGATACCGCCTCCATCTAGACAAAGTAAGCTGAAATTTATAAAGATTATTTTTACACCTTACACATTTTTAAATACTATATATAATATTATAAAGAGTTTAATAATTACTTTGCAACCATCCGCTCAATTAAATAAAATCATGTAACTTACCTAGTTTGAAAAGCACCTCCCGCCCTCCCTCAATTGCGTTCACTAATCCCGTCACCACCAATCCCAGCACTACTACTCCCAACACCACTATTCAAGGAAAGACACACCATAGACGATAATACGACACGTGTTTCGCCTCTACACGAGGCATCTTCAGGTGATGTAGACTCTACGGCGGCTGACCACTAAGTAGTGGTGACGGGATTAATGCACGTAATTGAGGTAGGGCGGGAGGTGCTTTTCAAACTAGTTAAGACAAATTATTTTAATTAATTGAGCGGATGGTTGCAAAGTAACCATTAATATCTTTATTATAATGGATTTCCGAAAAGTAACGCCTGATTCTATCAATTACGATATAATATTTTATTCACAAATTTACAGAACATAACCTGTCACAGATCACTGTCAAACATAGGCAACCTGCATATATAGCTCATTAAGTGGTATACTTGCCATAGCTGCCACGCTTGGTAGGAGGAATGGCAATCGCAGTATTTTATTATTTTGTGTATCTAGCAGGAAAATGCTGCTGCCTAACTCATGTTTCAGTTCACTTCTTTCGCCTCTTACGACTACGAGAGCTACAGGATTATATCGGGTAGTATAGATTCTCGTACGCTACCACTACAAAACTCTAAAATTTTGATTATGAAAATAATAATGTAATAAAAAAGATAAAACCAAAACGTGATCTACTACAAGCGAGTTTTGATCCTTCACTGCTGACAATACGCGAAGGCTCAGTCACTCAATGTACTATGCTCAGGGTTTATCTACATGATAAAGTTCTTAAAAAGGATTCCCATCTGAATAAGAGCAACTGACATGAGCCAAATGGATCAGAAAGCTAAGGTGGGTCGAACACATAACTTGAAGAACTGACAACCAATATGTAAGAAAGGTACTTAATTCGGATCCCGATAAAGAGCGTAAAAGGCAACCTGATTAGATACGCAGAAATTCGATGGATTGTACGCAGCTTAGTAGCTTGAAGAAGTCTAGATGAAGTCCAGTAATAGAAGGCAAAGTCTTACACTATCGATATAAACTCATATAATACTATCAAATGTCAAAATTTTCCTTTGCTAAGATACGTAAACATTAAAAATATTGAATTCAAGTGAAACCACGGCTAATACTAAAGGTGAGGTGAAACTGTCGAGAAAACTCATATGTAAAAAAACTTGTCTGATCCGAAAGAGGCACATACGTACCGCAATGACATTAACAAAAAAAATTAAAACATCACAATATAATTAATGAATATAAATACGTAAATTGTTATTTAATCATACCATGTTGCCGTGTAAGAATATCCACTACCATCATTCCGTGGGTGTCGTAAGATGCGACTGAGGGAAACAAAAAACAAACTACGGGATGAGTAGCAGGGTATTCCTAGTAACAATTTTAAAAAATGCTTGTCTGCAATGTCGGTTTACGGACGATAGTTTAACGTGACAACGTCATAACAACACATTGATGTAATGATTGCATACTTTTATGAATAAAATTGAATTATTTTTATTGGATTATCACTATTTTGTATGGATACAAAGAAGGAGTGAAATGAAATCTACGTTGGCTTGAACGTTCAAGCCGATCGTGCCTTTCGCTCGTTGGTGCCGCGCTCTCGCTCTTTCGCTCGTTGGTGCCGCGCTCTCGCTCTTTCGCAAATTCGTGCCGCGCTCTCGCTCCGATCGTGCTCGGTTTGGCTGGAGCGTAACGGGACAATGAGTCATCATTTTTCGTGCATGCAGTCGGCGGACGTCGATTTATTAAAGACGCTGTCATGTCAAAAATTAATAACTGCGATTACCAACCCACCTGCTATGCGGGGCAGCTATGACAAGTGTCCCTCTATAAGGCAATGGGTGCGTTTGGCAGAAAAAAGCGTTAGCAAGCGCTTGTAAGCAAAATGGCGATCGTAAGCGGTAAGTGCTGTCAAATCGTAAGTAGCTATTTTCCTCTAGGACACGATGTTAGTTTTAACCGGGGAACCTAACCTAATTTAAATATATGTTTGTAAAGTATTCATATTAAAAACTTACCAATCATGAATTTTTAATAACATGTATATGTTTATTCATGTCATTATGTTACTTAAAACTAATATTGCACAAAACAACTTTTAAACTCTACTTCAAAACAAACAAATTAAATAAGCAAAATGGCGGATTATGTCAGCGCTACTGAAGTAGCAATCGTGTCCTGGCCGAAAACTATTTTAGCGCTTGTAAGCGCTTGCTAGCGCTTTTTTCTGCCAAACGCACCCAATATATGGGGAGGCCTATGTTCAGCAGTGAACTTTTTTTTAAATTTAAAGGAAAGAAAGTAGGTTTAAAAGGTAAATAAAGATGCTTCCAATAGTAAGAGGGAACATGTTACTAGTGGTAGCTTTTCTTTTTTGTTTAAGAACCTGGGTAGTTCCCATCCCTATCCCCCGCCAATCACCCTCTTGTGTATTTCCGTCACCGATTAGCAGTGTATTGCAGTATGTACAGTGCTAGACCTGTTGTATTCTGGTCTAAAAGGTGTAGAGAGCTAGTATAATTATAGGCTGATGGCATCCCATCTTATTCCTCAAAAGGGACACCGCATCTATATCTTTCTTTTGTTGTAGCCACTCTCCATTTTGTGGACTGTAAGTTAGTTTGTCACGATTTATAAAAAGGAACTTACCGTCCTTGTTTCATGTTGCTTTCTAGTGAGGCTGACTTTACGACGGCAGCGGAGGTGAGCATGTCGCTGATAACTTCGCGCCCGTCGGTCGTCGGCACGGGCGGCGGCGGCACGCCGTTGTACTCCCCGCGCGCGGAGCAGCCTGGCCCGCATCCAGCCATCTCCGGCGGACATCTTGTATGAACAAAATTAAAAACGTTTTATTAACAGAAACAATTATACAATATGTAATATCCGTTGGTATCCTCACAAGGCAAGCCCGTATCGATGAAACTTGACACCAAAGTTCATTATGCTTTATTTTGCATTATCAAACAGATTGTATTAAATATTAACATGTACGTTATGGCTTATTGCTTAAAAATTATACATAAAAAGGAAGAAACTTAATATTTAATATACGGTTATATAAAACTTGGCTTGATTGTTGTACCAAGACAAGTGATCTGTACATTGTATTTACTAAATATATGCATATGAAAAAGAAAATAAAAATTATAACAATAACAATATTTACCTAATAATTTTAGAAATAACTTCAATTAGAAACAGCTAGTTTTTAACATTTCTTATGTTTTTGAATTAATTTCGCAGGTATGTAATATTTATTTCTATGATTACAATATTTTTCAACCTTATTATAGATATGTCTTTTAATAAAATTGCCTAAAAGTTGGGCAAATGTATGTAAACAAAGTTTAAATATATTATGTTCAATCTTTTTTACTTCTCCTTAACCGACCTCAATAAGGAGGAGTACTCAATTCGACTGCGTGTTTTTTATCTGTTACCTCAAAACTTTTTTCTAGGAGAACTAATTTTAATGATTCTTTTTTTAATCTGAAAGCTGGTGCTTCCAGTAGTTTTTGAGTTATCCCGAATAATGCGTATTTAATTGACTTCGAATACACTGATGATGTTCTCATTTTATTTATATTTAAGTCGGTTGTACAATTTTTTGTTATTTTACCACTTAACGAACTTCGTTTTGTTGAAATGCTATGTAAACTAAGGCCATCCAATTAATATCGTTACTGAATCACATCATTTGCTACTGTCCCTTATCTTGTTTGAGTTTCCACAAGATAAGGGACAGCAGCGTCTTCCTGATCATCTAAATACTAAAAAACAGCGGTTGCCAACTCGTCCGTCAAGCGTGGCAGCTATGGCAAATCAATTTATGAAGCAATCTATTAGAGAGATTATGTTCAACAGTAGACTTTTATAGGCGCTAATGGATGGACGGATTAATTGAATTTTATTTTCTCGATATCTTTCGTTACAAGGTCCACTGATAAAATTCACATATTTTACGTCGGAGAATTCGAAAGTTCACGGATGCAGCAAGGTTGTATTATTTACCTTTTTTTTTTCGAAAAGATGTTATGTATATTTGTGTTCAGATATAACTATTTCCGTAGTGTCGATTGATATTATAGTCGAATTCGCATAAAACGAGAATTTTGAGCTGTGGTTTATTAAATGAAATCGATACCAACAGTGCTACATACCAACCACCTACCAACAATAGCTTAATTAATGTTAAAATTGTATATATTTTTCAACAAAGAAACATAATATATAGTAGTTGTTATTCTACAAATATTTCGAATTTAAAAAGCAAAACTCGAAAATCGAATATATTTTAGTTATTTAAAGCAAACGTAAGAGAAATCTCACCTTTGTGCCCCCACAGCATGCAAAATGTACAAAATCTTATCGTAAGCGCTGTCTGACATCTCGGCGGGAACAGTGTGCCTCGCCGTAAACCCTGCGTTATTCTTTGCTTCCAAATCCGCCCCAAAGACAATCAAGGCTTGAACTATCGATATATTTGTTTGCTTCACGGAAAGATGCAGCGATGTGTTCCCTTCTTTATCTCCTATTGAGTGTTCAGCTCCTCTAGAGAGTAAAGCTATTGCACATTCGAGGCGCCCTCTTAGCACCATCACGTGCAAAGCGGTTAGACCATCGAAATTCAAAGCGTTTATGTCGCAATTCTTGTCGACCAATGCTTCAATCACTTCTCTGGATATTGCCCAATGTAATGGTGTGCCCCCATGCTTCATATCTTGCTGGTATAGCTTCGGGTGTTTGTCTTGGACTATGTCGCAAACGATACCTAGAATTTTTATATTTTAAGCGTTAATACACTTTTAAGATGTCTTATTAGTTATTTTTTAATTTTAGTAACATGACTGCTTATTACAATGACATGGGTTGACAATTACGTCGTCAATAGGTATAATATAAAATTTTAGAACGATATTAGATGTAAATAATTCTTTCAACTACAAAAATTATAGAACGCCAGCATAAAATAATGGCTGTGTTTCGTATGGAAATCCAAGAAAGATCTTTTCACATGTGGTAGATCCACGCTGCAGCTATATTATGATTGTAGCACGAATGGGTCGGCTCGACCGGGGAAGGACTACGTTCTCATTCTCACAGAATACTAGCGTAAAATAGCAGCTCAACGCGGCTGTGTTTTGTATAGTGCATGTAGAGAACCGGGGACCCCTTTAAGTCCATCATCAGGGGTGAAAATTGATGATGGACTTAAAGGGGTCTCCGGTTTAATTATTGTTTATGGTTGTAAAAAAGCTGAAGGTACTCCGGGTTTAACAATGACATCGGGACGTCAGTCATCTCAGTCCCCCCGTGACCATGGGTGCTGGAAAGCGCCCGAAACGTCGGGAATTAAAAATAAAAGTAAATAAAAAGTAAAAATAAACGCGATAAAATCCGTAAAAGTAGTTTTAATCATATATAGTGTTCGCGTAAATATAAGAAATCATTACTGGTAAGGTCAACTCTCGAAGTTCAAACTACCTGTTAAGTTTTAACAACAAATTAACTAAATCAGATCAGGACGTTGCAATGGTTTTTGAGAAATATTTTAGTGATATTCCGATCTTAACCACTAAGTCACTGAATTCTTCTCCTGCCGTCGCCGAATCATTACTTAAACAAAATGTAAATGTGTGTACAAAGAATTTTACATTTCATAAAGTGTCATCAAAAGATATTGTAAAATATTTTAAGACTATTGATATTAAGAGAACCGCCGATCTGTGGGGGGATTTCTGTTAAAGTTATTGCGTCTATAATAGATGCGATCGCACCTCAACTATCTATTATTTTTAATACTAGTATGGAATCTGGTGTTTCCTGATTTAATGAAGCATAGTAAAGTAATACCTTTATTTAAATCTGGTAGTACATTGGACCCCGCTAATTTTAGACCTATTTCTGTACTGCCAACACTTAGTAAAATTTTTGAAAAAATTATTCTTGATCAAATGTTAAATTTTTTTAAAGTAAATAATTTACTTCATAAAAATCAATTTGGTTTCACAAGGGGTCGCTCGACAACCGATGCTGGTGTTGAGCTGATTAAATATATATTTGATGCATGGGAGAATTCACAGGATGCTTTGGGTGTATTCTGTGACATATCCAAAGCCTTCGATTGTGTTCACCATGAAACATTAATCAGGAAACTTCAACTTCAACACTACGGTGTAAGAAGCGATGCTCTTAAATTAATTATTTCATATTTAAGTGACAGAACGCAAAAAGTTGTCATTAATAGTACGAGTTCTTCCGGGTCGATTGTACAAATGGGCGTGCCTCAGGGCTCAATTCTCGGCCCTTTTCTACTTCTAGTATATATTAATGACTTACCTTACATAGTAGGGGATAACCATGATATAGTATTATTTGCTGATGATACTTCATTAATTTTCAAATTAAAACGACAGTTATTAAATTACGACGAAGTAAATAATGCTATAACTAAGTTAGTCAATTGGTTTAATGTTAATAATTTGCATTTGAATGGAACTAAAACTAAATGTATGAAATTCGTAACTCCTAATGTTAAACATGTCAATACTAATGTAATTTTAAATGGGGGGCAACTGAGTCTTGTTGATACCACCATTTTTCTTTGAATCACACTGGACGCAAAGCTTCAATGGCTCCCCCATATAACAAAACTAGCTAGCAAACTTAGTTCTGCAGGATATGCTGCGAAAAAGATTAGAACTCTTGCCAGTGTTGAAACAGCTAGAATAGTTTAGTTATTTCCATAGCATTATGTCGTATGGTATTTTGCTATGGGGACACGCGACTGACACCGAAATTATATTTATTTTACAGAAGAGGGCCATTAGAGCAATATATAATTTAAAACCAAAAGAGTGACTAAGACAAAAATTTAAGGAAATTAATATATTAACTCTGGCCTCTCAATACATTTATGATTATGTAATGTACGTACACAAAAATAAAAGTAGTTTTGCGAAAATAAGTGATATTCATTCTGTAAATACTAGGAACAGACACAAGCTAGTAGTACCAGTTACTCGACTCCACCGAGTCAGTAATTCATTCTTGGGGCGATGTGTATGCGCTTTTACAACAAAATCCCAGAAAATATACAAAATTTGTCATACACGAAATTCAAAAATGTTATTAAACTAAGTTTGTATAAAAAGGGTTATTATAATATTAAGGAATTTATGGATGATAATAACCCCTGGGAAGGGTGATCGCTACCAAGCTGTTTCTAATTTGTCTTGTGTTGTTTATTGTAAACATTATTGTAAGCCATTATTGGGAAAAAAATAGTCCCGCTGGGTTTCTTGCTGGTTCTTCCCAGGACAGAGGTTTTTTTTGCGAACCTGTGGTAAATGAAAAAAGTGACTTTCAATAAGTATTGTTATAATCCACATTGAATAAAACAAGTTTCTGTTTCTGTTTCAGGGAGTATAGGAGTTCGGGTATACGCTTAGGGACTCTATGAGACGCAAAAAATATATTTAAAAAAAAATTTGGAAAATTGGACTTATGCGCATTACGAACAATACCGTAAACATACATAGCGGATGAAAATATCCATTAAAAGAAAAAAACAGTGCATCCCTAATTTTGACCATCGGCACTTTGATAGTGCGCGGCGTCTTGTTCGGCATCATCAAAGGTCGAATACTGACCTGTCAAAGAAATTTTGCAGCTATTCGGAAGTACAAGGTCAAGATACATGCGCCGGCGGCTTCTATTGATATCGCATTCAATCGTCGCCACCACGCCGCACGCACTACATCTGACACTGTTTGAATGCCGCCACAGAGTACATGTTCCAGAGAATAAAATAAGTTTCCGGGTGCGCAGAATGGAGACGAATACATTATGCTCATCTCGCAAGGAATATTGTAATTAGATAATGGTAAGGATAGGTAGATACCATAATAATTTATTCTAGTAAGTAATTATTATAATATTAATTATATGGGTTTATAATAATTACTTACTATTATTATTATTACCTAATAGATAAACATGTTCAATAAGTTCACTGCAAATCTCGATTTTTGGAAATGTGTGTTTTTGAACACAAAGTGTTCGAATATATCGTCATCCATTTGATAAATATTGTAGACACTTTTAACACACTTGAAACGTGTAAACATTTTGTGCAATGCTAATCGAATAATATAAAAATGGTGCATATTAAATAAAAAGCGTAAAATAAGATCTATGTACTTTTTAGGAGCCCAAGTATCTCTTAGAGAATCGTTTAAAGAAATTGTTTGCATCGAATTGATGTAAATAATAGTGACTTGCACAATATTAATAGTAGAAATGAAAATAAAATCACAATCCCTGCTTTCCGGTTACACAAAGTATATAATGCGTTCTTGGGTAGCGATATACGCTTTTATAATAAGATTCCAAAATAAATGTTAGATCTTTCACCTTTTCAATTTAAGTCAGGCAAAAATGCTTGGAACTAACCTCTCGTACTACACAGGACTAACTAGAAATTTCTAAACCGATTTGGTATCTACATATACATTTGACATTTTATGTTAGACTTATCGCTTTACATAATTATAGAACTATTGTAAAAATATTTTGAAAAGAGCAACTACTGAGTTTCTTAATTTCTTCCATGATTCTTCTCAGTAGAATCAGAACCCCTGGACATGGAAAAGAAAAAATTGGGGAAAACAGTGATTATATGACTATTCAAAAGTGTATTTTTAATGCTTACTTGAATAAAACATATTTGAATTTTGAATTTCAAACGAGTGAAGGCAAATTTAATTTAATTAACGTAAATTAATACAATCACAAGAAGAACATAATAAACACAATTTTATTTACATATTTACATTTCATTTTTACGTAGGCACATTATACCTATCTGGCAACGTATCTACTTTATTAATCTTCTGAAGAATCATTAATTTTATCAAAGGATGCCAAACTCTCCTTTGTCGGTCTTTCGTCGTGTACTTACAAATAGTAGTATTTATTTTAATTCCAGTCATTCCCAATTGAGCTTTGCTTCGAGTCTAATGTATTAATTGTTTTTACTCTAATCCTTGTTGTTCTCGGAGTGATAAGTTTACAATTTGTTGTAAATATATCGACAATGTGTTGAGTGACGAAGAGTCGAATAGTTCTAGCCGGAGTAGTGAGAGTTGGAGTTATAGATCTAAAAGACCTAAAAGTAAATTTGATGAGTTTTTCAACATAATTCATGCATCAAAAATCGCTTTGTGTAAATTATGCCAACATAAAAAGGTTGAAATAAAAATGAAAAACAGAAACACTTCAGGCTTAAGGAAGCATATAATATCTTTCCACAAAAAGGAATCACAAATATTTCTTCCTGCAAAACCAAAATTAAGTGGAGATATCACAAGCTAATAAAGTAAATGTCGATCTTCATATCTATACTTTAGAAATATAGGACTTGCATGTAACCATTTTACCCCAATTTCACCTCCTTAGGGTTAGGATTTCGTAAAACAGCTTATTCAGGAATCAGAAAGGGCAAATCTTTGTTTCAGAGCACGAGGGATCTGTGTCAGCAAACACCTGGCCGCCGAGCTTCAGCACGTCAAGCAGGTTCTGCACGACAACAAGCTTCGGGTCCCGCGCCTACGTCACAGTGACCGAGTGAAGCCGGCCACAGTCGAGCGTGTGCCTGCTATACTACCATATGTCAGAGGTGTCACAGACAAGATTGGCTACATCTTGAAGCGAGCTTCTATTAGAACATTCTACAAGCCGCCGAAGAAGATTAGTCAGTTCTTACCATCC